TTTTTATTTTGAAAATCAACAGTTTGCATTATGCAATTAAAAATCCTAACCAATAAAGTAGGGAATAGCTATCCAACTGTTGTTTTAGTTGTATGTTACTTCATATTATAGTTATATCAATGTAAATCATTGTTTTCCCTTGTGTTTCTCATTCTTTCCCTGCCATGTGGTAAAATGTGGTGAACCCATCGCTGTATTTGCTCCAAAGCAAATATTGGCCTTTCTAGTTGTTTGCTGCATTTCCGTGATATTGGTGTCATCTCGTCTTTAAGTGCTTTCATAACCAGTATGTGCCACAAGAGAAGTAAAAAGTGGCGTTTGACAATTGCATCCATAGTGATGGACCATTCTCTAGACATTAAAAACGTGCTGCATGAGTGTTGCATGAGTTATTGTGCCCGATATAAGGACTGCAACTGTGTGACTTTAGGCCCAATAGAGCCGTTGGACATTGATCAATTGGCACCAATATGCACTAGGGCTGTGGGCAGTTTGCAAAGATACATATTATTCTCTCGTGCTGGTTCAAGATCAAAGCCAGGGGCAATAATAAAGGATTGCGCTAGTCCTATCTTTGGAGCTGAAAAATTGGGATTGACCCCTGAGATCCCTCTTGTATTATTCGTTTTTATCTCGAAGCCCGAGTGCAAATGGTACAAACGTGATTTATAGCTTTCTACAAAGCTTGGAGTGCATCTGTGCACGATGGGTAGAGTGTATCATTTTTCATTTCCAACAAGTGTTCCGCACTATTGAAAGGCCGTCGCTCCGTGACGCGCTTATTTTATGAAACAGTGCAGGGAAAGCTTAGGTTTAGATATGAAGCTTTCTCGGAGATGTTTGTTGCTATTCTAGACCAGGAGGATCACACATTGAGCCTGTTTGTATTCGTACATAGATCCCTTGCCGGTACTGTTGGTTTCTTTGGATATTATAATAATATGACATGAATCTTTATTGCATGTTCTTGCCAAGATGGGCTAAATGCACAAGAGTACATGCAGTATGCAAAACATGAGTATTGCATACTGGAACGCTATATTCTAATGCTAATTGCTAGGAATTTATACATGATAACAATACAATATACTACCTATCATCTACTGTTAGTTGCCTTTTCTTCTCTCTTTTTCATTATGATTAGACTTGCAACAATATCTGATTCTTTGCGGTTAGTAGCATATTGTAACATTTTGCGATATATTTGTATCTAATTCTACCTTTAAAATGTTAGCCTTTATCACCAAGCAATTTGAAAAAGGTATCACATAAAATTAACCGAATGTTGTCTTGTTGAGTAGCATGCAGGAGGAGTTCACAGCAATACCTCAACTTTGCGACTTCAATGTAACAGTTAT